TCCCATCCTGGAAGGCGGGTAGCACCGACAACATCCAAGCGTTTCGTGATCTTCATACCCCTCTGCCAACTCAAGGGTTGGCCACCTCACAGTTTACACCACTCTGAATTGGGCATGGAAAACAGCACTCCCTACGGCAAACGATGGTTCGGGATACGCAACGCGTCTCAACCAACGCAGCTTCTGAAACCGGACACACTCTTCAGTGCACAACCGAAACACGCTTTCTAACTGCCTCATTGCGGATTCGCCGACACCAAACCACACGAGCCATAGTTCCGAGACAACGGTTGTGGAACAACTGAAGACCTCTCAGTTCCGCTGCTCAAATAGGTCAAGTCTCATAGCCATACAACAAAACAGCCCGTACCTTAGCTTGATACACATGTCCTTGAGATTCTTGGTGAACGACTCTGCGGCCCGAGCCTTGCAGATTCTTGCTTTGACCTCATTTGTCACACCACAATCAGAACTAATTCAACTTCCAAGATACGTAAAACGCTTTTCTGGATAAAATCGAAGGCCCATTTGAGCCCTGTCACACTTTTTTAGCAAACGATTGCTAGTGGATTACAACCAGCAGGTAGCTAAATCCTGTTGACGTTTTTATCGAGTCAGAAAAATTGGCACCAGACGTTAAACTTGATGCCGACAGCATATGACACCGTAATCTCGGTCGAAAACATCATCCGCAGGTATGAACTGTGAACAGGCAGCACAATGTTCTTCGTAAATATCGTCATTCACGTAATATTCTGACAAACTCTATTATGTTAGAATCGGGAAAGTGGAAAGTGCTTTCATTTGCTCTGAAGTATGCCTTGGAGACAGGTCTTTAAGCTGGTTGATGATATCAGCGTTTGTCGTCTGTTGTTACAGTGAAATGGATACAAGCGGGCGAGGTGACTGTGGACAGAGGGCAAATTTACTGACCGGTAGGTCCATGGTTTGAACCCTACCTTTGTCTCTCGTCTTCCCCTGTCTAGGCTTAAGCAACTTGGCATTATCCCGGTCCTCGTGCTTCCTTGTGGTAGCATGGCACCGAAGGTGTGCTACAGCTGAGTGGGATGATGAGGCGAGTCGGGTGGGGACCTAGTCAGCGAGCTAAAAATAGCCATTAGGCGCGTGCCTACCTCGTGTGTTGATTGGCTGAATATCCAAGCGTGTGGTACACCGTCTTTCATTCGCACAGTGGTTTACACACGCAGTACGAAACGAAGGCGGGCACAGGCGCGTGGCTTTATGTGACCGGGTCGTCATCAATCCATCACACAGCGCTGTCTACACCCTGTTTGTGTGGTATGTTTGTGTCAATCAGGAGCGAAGTCATTCCGACCAGACTGTCGCAGAGATTTACTCGGCCGTGTAACTACTTGGGCTACTGCTTAGCGTAACTTACGTATGCAACCGTCCTAAGTTCACTTAGCTCCATCATTCGAGGAGATACGCTCCCAGTGCTACTTAAAGAGACTAATCGGGAAGTACGGCAGTGAAGCATTGGTGTTGAACACTGATGTCATGCTGTCGATGATGGTGATGATGAATCGGGCCGAGCTAACGGACTAGTCACCTACAGACCAACGAGCGACCGACCTTGTATCCGCACAATATCAAGTTTGGATTCAACGATCAGATCTTCAGACAGAAAAACGGCGTCACCGTGGGGTCACTTGGACATTTGGTGGCTTGAAGGACGTCAGCTTACCTACAACCTGGGCGCTAGATCGATGACATAATCGCCCTCGCCCAAAATGAACTCAGACCCAATAAAATTCGGACAGAATTCATTCAAACTCATCCAGTTATCAAGTTCACTCTAGAGTCAGAACTCCAGAACGTTATCAGCTTTCTAGATCTTTAAACTAACCAGAAGAAACCATGGCGTATTCCGAGAAATACTAGAAGAATATTACACGGCATTAGTATTGTTACTTTACATTAATGTTACGCAATGGGGATTGTCCCGAGGAGTAAGCTGTAATCCGAGTTAAGGCCACAAAATCCTATCAATAAACAATCTCTTTTTGGCGGGAGACCCAATGGAATCCAGCCATATCTCTCGTTTATGATGGCCCGCTTCAGCTGAATGTAAAGTGAACTGTCGTAAACCAGAGACTCAGCTGGATTCCGTTGGGTACCCTGCCAAAAGCAAATTCCTGTGCAAATGAAAGTAT